TAGGATAATCAATATACTTGCTACCCAGTGTGAGTTATCTGCCAAAGGACAGGTCCAATTTGGAGACTAGCCAAGGTGACAAATGGGCACTTGAGCTACACAGGTTACTGCTGCTTCCACACCAGGATCATTGATTTGTGCAGTAAACAGGGGAGAAAAACAACTAAGAGGTAATAAATTCCAACTACTGGCTAACTCTCATTAGAGGAAAATTGAACATCGCTTAGAAACTTTCACCATCATCACCACAGATACTGCGCAGCTACAGATGTCGGTATGAGGGCAAGCAATTCACAACAAGTTTCAAAATAAACCACTTCCATCTCATATCACAACTAATGCACTCTCCAGTTCAAGCGCAATCTCAGTCAATTTTTGGCACAGCATCTACTAGATCATTACTTCATTGCTTTACTGTCCATAAATCCATAAACATAATTCAGCTATCAAAGTTGCTGTGAATTAGATCTTAATTATGTTCTCAAAAGGGAAATAATTTAATTGTACCGCTGTTTAAGTTTGAAAATGAATTTAGGTCATTGGGGCACCACATTACAAACAAGACGCTCATAGTAGATGCAACCGACAGCACAGTGGTAAAACTAACTCCATTCGTATTGTTGCCGTCTCACCTCTCAACGTGAGAGATGTATTATCATGATGATTTATTCCAGTTTATACTGCTGCAGAATCACTACGTGCCATCACACAGGCAAATATCTCAGTCAGTCAGGTCTTTTATATAAACAAAGGGAACCGAAATCATTTCAACACTCAATATTATTAGTCTGACTTCTGTCAATACCTTGCACTGGGCCAAACTACCATCTTGGGGACAGTTATCCAAATTATAATGGGCTGGATTGTCCCATATTGTGGCTAAGTGTCAATTTCAGGGAGTTTCGTGGAGGGTTTCCCTATGTGAGCCCTTGAGCCTTTTCTTATACAATTCTCCACAGTGCACCTTATTAGTTACACATCCTGGCTCCATCGCACCGCTTTCACACACAGTCTTGTTCTCAGAAGAAGTGCTCATCCGTGCCAAGTCCTTTTGGCATTCACAGCACAAGTGCCATTTTCAAACCGCAGCTGCAGGCCAGGAGCTGTCTTTAATGTGTAGCTATGCAATTCCAAACAGCATGGCTGAGAAAAGCAAATACACACATGGTTTCACAAAAGGTCCCTGGTGTATGGGGAGAACCATCCCCTTTTCACCAGGTCTGTGGGAAGGGAGCACTGTAGCAGTCACCTGCGTCAGTGTGGTGTCCATGGTCCACAGGAACTCGCAGCTAATGCCATAACATGTTAGGTGACCTTGTGTGCTCTATATGGGTAGGTGCCATTTTCTTCTCTCTGCCGAGTGACATTAACCAGCTCTGTTACTCCACCCACCTCTCACTAAGGCTCAGTCTTTCCCCCTCACTACTGCATGCAGCATCTTTCCTCAATGACTTCCACTCACCCCTTCCTCCCAAAATTACTAACCCTTCCTGTCCTCCGTGTTTCTTTCTTACTCACTCAACAATTCACCACCTTTCCTGACCGAGGGTGGATCAGCCTCCTGACTGACCAGAGTCACCCCTTCACTGGACTAAGGAACACACGCCTCAGACATGCAGTCTAGTTGCTGCATACACTGCTAGCACATTACCGTAGGTGTGTTGCTACCGTACACCAACACGCCCACCCCCTTGAATATTCAGTGTTGGAATGCTAGCTTTCTATCAGTGCTAAAAGGCAAGGCAGAAAAATACTGACAGTGACTAAGTAAGCACAAAGTGAGTAAGTGCTAAGAAAACAAGCTAACAGCCCTGAGAGGCATGAAATGGGTGACTGTCCCTGTGTGCTAAGTGACTGGGTAGCAACATTGCAACACAAGGTGTTGGTCAGCTCCAAAGTGCAGTATTGAAGTAGTTAACTGAATTCTAAGCAAGTCAGGGATATGCCATGGGTGATGTGGGGAGGCTGCTGTTTTGCCAATAGTGACTTCCGTGGACAGAGTGTAGGTGGTCACTGTCAATGGAGTGTGCCCCGAGGTATTGGGGACTGGTAGCCAATATGGAGGCCTTGAGGAGATGCAGGTAAACCATCAGATTATCATTCTGACTTTCAAGTAGGAGTTGGCACTGTCTAGTTTCTTACCAATGTTTGGGAGAATATGAATAAAGAGAGATTAGGCAATAAAGTAATTTAATGCATTCAAATAGGGTTCTCATCATTACAAGTGAGATTCTCATCTAGTTATAGAAACATTAAAGGGAGAACCAAGCATTTTCTTCCTTGATGTCAAGAATCTTATTTTTCATCCTCACCATATTTTCCCAGCTTTCCCACCTTTGCCCAGATTGTTCAGACACTGAGAAAATTCTACTCAATGCTGCTCATAGCCTGGTCAGATTTTTCCAATGGATCACACATTTTGCTAACATCTCCACTTGGTAGTTCTGTACATTCTCGTTTATGTACATTGATGCCAACGCAACAACTAAAAAGACAAAAAAAATTGCAAAACCTCCCACCCTTTTGTTTTCAATCCCACATTTTCAGTGAAAGGTGATTATACTTGTGGACTATTGTTTTATATCAAGTTGTTTCTTCTTATCACACCTTCAGTACATTCTTTACTTTTCTAGGTGCACTTATTTACTCGCCTGTTTCTCTATTTCAGTTTGCATGTCAGAGTCAAGATTTTAAAAAAAAAAAAAGGTGCAGCTAAAGAAAATTTTCTCTTCTTCAAATTATGCCATAGGGTCTTTGTCTCTCAGCATGACTAGGTGAAATGCAATGTGCCTATAGATTCTCTACTTATCACTGGAATCCTGTTCAACTCTGTAACGAGCTTCAAAATACTCTGCGATCAAAGGGATTTATGTTGTCTGCACTGCTACTTCATCCTCATTCTTCCTCCCACATCTTTCATCCTTACCTACATTCGGTTCGTGACAAACCTCAACATATCCCAGTCGCGAACCATTTCAACTCCTCCTCCCACTCCTTGGACGACATGTCCATGCTCCTGCAGTGCCACAACGATGCCACCTGAAGGTTGCAGGAACAGCATCTCATTTAGCTTGGGAACCCTGCAGCCCAATGGTATCAATGTGGACTTCACAAGCTTCAAAATCTCCCCTCCCCCTACCGCATCCCAAAACCAGCCCAGCTCGTCCCCGCCTCCCTAACCTGTCCTTCCTTCCACCTATCCCCTCCTCCCACCTCAAGCCCCACCCCCATCTCCTACCTACCAATCTCATCCTGCCTCCTTGACTTGTCCGTCCTCCCTGGACTGACCTATCCCCTCCCTAACTCCCCACCTAAACTCACCTTTACTGGCTCCAACCCCGCCTCTTTGACCTGTCTGTCTCCTCTCCACCTATCTGCTCCTTTATCCATCTTCTATCCGCCTCCCCTTCTCTCCTTATTTATTTCAGAATCCCCTTCCCCTCCTCCATTTCTGAAGAAGGGTCTAGACCCGAAACGTCAGCTTTCCTGCTCCTCTGATGCTGCTTGGCCTGCTGTATTCATCCAGCTCTACACCTTGTTATTTCATCCTTGCCTCTTCCTTTTCTAAATTCCTCTGTCTTTCACCTCAGCATATTGGACCAGAGGCAAAAGCTGGCTCAGTCTCTCTTGCTGGAATTCCCCCCTCCTTTATTTGCCATCTGTGGGGCCTCTGCCTTGTACAATTTACCTGCTACATCTGGCTACAGAACAACTATAACCACACTTCAAAATAATTTATTGGATGTGCAAGAAGTGCTAAACTTTCAATTTCTTTCAGTATTTCGAAATGGACACTTAAGCAGGGTCACAGTTGGCCAAGTTCCAGACACATTCGATCAAAAATAAAACATCTTCTCACCTTAAACTGCTACCTCCTTGCTAATGTTTACCCCCACGCACAGTTGATCCTTCTGTGCCTCTTACTCAGTCTGCATATCTGACCGATCATGCTGCCCTGCCACATGTTCTACTTCTCTCCAAGTGCTCTCACAGTGGGAGTCAGGAAGTCTCCCTATTAGGGAGGGTTAGGAAGATTCCCTCAGCAGTACAAACATTTGGTTTAGTCTCGATAGAAAATTAATAGGGCTCACCAGGAAGGAAATGTTAAAATATCCCAGTGTTGTGATTAATTCAGAAGGCAGCAATATTTTTCCTAAGCAGGTCAGCTAGAATGGTGGGGATGGCACAAATGGATGGCAAAACAAACAAAAAAAAAAAAGAGGTAGACTAATGGAGCACTATTTTCATCTTTGTTTTCAAATCACTCTACAGCCATGCCCTTCCTACTTCTGTAATCTCCTCCAATCCTTCAAACCGTCTGGGATGTCTGTGCTTTTATAATTCTGGTGTCACATGAATTGCCAATTGTGGCCCTTCCACCACTGCTTCTACATTGCTTAGGCCTTAAGCTGTAGAACGGCCCCCTTACAATTCTCCACCTCACATTTGGCCTTTAAGACTCCTCTTTAAACTTTAGTCAACCGACCCAATATCTCATGTGGCTCAGTGTCATACTTTAGTTTATAATTCTCCTGAGAAGTGTCCTGGGATGTTTAGTTATTAGAAGTGCTACATAAATGCAAGTTGTTGTTGTAGAAGCAGCAGCAGCTAGGTCAATTCGGAAAGAAAAGTAAGTATTTTGCCATTGGCAGGCTCTTGTATCCTGCATTTGATTACCTAAATCTTATTATGGAAACCACAGCATGTAATTTCATCCTTCATAATTATGGTATCACAGATGGCTGTATTCATGTCCGACTGTGTTTTGGAATTATATCCGTATTCAGGTCAAATGTCTAGGTTATTTCTGGAAATGTAAATGTTATCTGTGTT